ATATTCCCGCATGTAACATATATATATATATATATATATATATATATATATATATATATATATATATATATATATATATATGTATGTATATATATATATATATATATATATACACACACACAGCCCATTAATGTACGAAAAATGGATCATAAGTAAAATTTGAATTAATTAATTAATTAAGACAAGAAAAAAAATACCTTACGACTGATTATGCGCGTAAAAGGATCTGTAACAGTCGAAAGCGTCCCTTTAATTTTATTATACGCAGCATCTTCTGATGTAAGTGGAAACATTTCGACCATCGTTTGTTGTAATTTTAAGTCCTAATCTGTAAAACATAAGTCCCCTTCGAATTATTAGTTCATTGATTCGGACAAGGATAAAACCGATAAACGACAAACACGAAGCTCTCATCCTAATGTTGGCAACTATTGATTCAAGAACACAACTACATTCACTTTCAAAACTTGAAAAACTAATCAAACGAAAGAAGTTCGACGAGGGGCATTTTGGTCTTTCTTACCCTGATGATTGAAAGTTGGATCCACAAAGGTTTCTCTAATCAAACCCCATGCCTTCACAAGTGTTCTTTGTACAGTATTCACCTGTTTCAAAACAGAGGTAAGAGTCTGATTAAAATAATATTTAGTAATATGAAATAAATAAATAAATAACTTCTTTTTTTTAAATATTACCTCACGGTTGTGACTTGTGAGAAACAGGAAAAGCTACAGTCAGTGATTCAGCAAACGCCGGCGAATCACAGAGCAACGACACGGCGGCGGCGAAACCGAGCAATCCTCGGCCGACCCTTTTAATCAAATCTTTGTTTTCAGCTGTAAATATTGAATATCGGCTTGTGGGCAGATGTTCTTATTACAGAAAACGAGGTTCGGAGAAAGATGATTCTTGTTTCTTCTCCGGCTGTTGAGACTCGATAATCTGAAAGAAGAGAAGAGATTTGAGTAGGGTTTTGAGTGGAATTTGGAGAGCAGTGAGATATTCGACAAGGCGGAATCGAGATTTGAGCTGAGGGATTAATTCAGTTGCTAATTGAAACACAATCAGGGAAAAAATTCAAACGGGAAAATGAAAAGAACAAAAGGAGCATATTACCTTCACAAAAGAGAGTATCGGACAAAGGGGCGGATGCACAAGAAATAACGAATCACAATTTTGGATGCGGATGAAAATGGGAGAAAATTGAGGTTTTGGATGTGGACGAAAATGGGTGAAGTGCAATTGGTGGAGAATTGAGGTGGAAGTAAAGTTGGTATAGTGGGGGGGCGTGAAGCTGCTGGGGCTGTAGTCAGAAATTGTAGGCCGCCGACCACCGTGCGGGGCCCAACATCGGCCAGAGTGGCGTTGGTCGCCGACCAAATCGACGGTGGCGGGCGGCAGTTGGCGACAGCAGCAGGTGAAGGAGGAGGACAAAGTGAGGCTGAAGGTGTGAAACGGCGTCGTTTTACGAAAAGCAGAATAAAAAAGAAAAGAAAAAAAGAAGCAAGCAGGACACGGTCAAGCTGCTTCAAAAATAAAAGGAAAAGAAAAGAACATAAGAGGCAGATTGGACCGAGGGAAAGAAACGACACAGTTTCAACATTAAATGGGCCAAAAGAAAAGGAGAAAGAAATGGGCCTAAAGAAAAAGGGGTTATCCCCGTATATATGATATGATATATATATATATATATAATCAATAAATATCAATAATAATCGGACAAATTCGGCAAAAATCAGAAAAAATCGCAAATAATCGGAATAATTTTGGATCGGAAATCGGAAATTCCAAATTTCTGTTATGTATTTCCGATTCCGATCCGATTTTTTTCGAAAATTTTGGAAATTGGAATTTCAGAATTCGGAATTGAAAAAATCGTTCCAAAATCGGAATTTTTCGGATCGAATTCGGCAGAAATCGGAATTTTCGTTCCAATTTCCACCCCTATGCCATGTGCGTTGAAAGAAACTACGGGAGGGAAATAACAAACTCACTGGCAATTGTATCCTTTAGTAATTAGGAATTTGTCTTATATTACGAAATTAGTTATATATATATATATATAATATAAAAAGATGATCTATGCCCTCAATGATTGACATGTGACAAATGATGATGTCATTTATCAAAATTGCTTAGTTGGAGTTCAATTGATGAGGTGGATTCTTCAATTGGTGAGTTGTCAATTTTATTTTGGTATGTATTTAAGTTATTTCCTATTTAACATTTATACACTCATTTAAACAATTACCACATGTATATATAGGGGTGGGCATTCGGGTCGGGTTATTCGGGTATAACCCGACCCGGTCGGGTATTACCCGACCGGATCGGGTAATTTTTTATGAAACCGGGTTTTTTCCGGGTTCGGGTATCCGGTGCTCCCAAACCGGGTCGGGTCCGGGTATTAGAAATCCTACCGGGTTACCCGATCGGGTACCCGGTTGAATTATTTTTTTTTTTTTTTTATATATATATATATATATATATATATATATATATATATATCAGTATATGTATATGTAATGCAGTATATGTATGTATATGTCTATATATATGTATAGTCTGTATCTCTGTATATATATATATATGTATGTCTGTAATCTGTATATATATATATACGTATGTCTGTATATATATACATATATGTCTGTATGTCTATATATATATATATATATATATATATATATATATATATATATATATATATATATATATATATATATATATATATCTTAAGTAAATTTAGTTATTATTTATTTTTCAAAAATGAAAAAAAAAAAATAAAAAAAAAATAAATAGCAAAACCCGAACCCGACCCGAACCCGACCCGAAATAACCGGATACCCGGTTGCCGGGTACCCGGTTATCTCGGGTCGGGTTCGGGTAATATTTTTTTTGCAAAAAACCCGAATAACCCGACCCGAATAACCCGAATAACCCGACCCGACCCGACCCGAATGCCCACCCCTATGTATATATATTATTTCCAAAGTTAATATTTTATAAATTCGAAATAAAAAAATCTTATTTATATTTTCAGTATTTCAAAATATATTTATTGAAAAAATTCATGATACTCAATTTAAAACGAATATTCAAATAATTTTCAGAAAAAAACATTTTTTTTAATATTAAAATATTAAAATAAAGGAATACAATTTTTTTTTTGAATTTTCAATATTTTGGAATATTCGAATATTCATTCCATTAAAAATAATTATAAATTTTTGTTATTTTTTAATTGTAGTATTTAATAAATATACAATATTTTTTGTATATAACTTCTATTATACCGTATTTCAAATTATTCTATTATATCGTATTTCAAATTAGAAAACTAATTGTACTATTTAATAAATATACAATATTTTGAAATTTTAAATTTTAACAATTTCTATTATACCGTATTTTAAATCATAAATACGGTATATTTCAAATTATAAATAAGGTATACATAAAATAATTGTCAAAGATTGTATCAATTATACCCAATTTCTACTACTGCGTATAATCTTTGTCTAATCATTTATTACATATTTAAGAAAGCATGACTAATTTATGTAAAATATCTAATCACCAATAAAAAATGTTCTTCAATATTGCAGTATTCTTGCATATCATCTTTGATTGATTTAGTTTACTCTTTAAATCAAAATCCAATGGTAAAAAATTTAACTGAATTTATTGATTTTTAAATACGGTATAATATATGAATTTATTGATTTTTAAATACTGTATAATATAAATAGCAAGATAGTACAATTAAGTCTTTATATGTAATTAATCCGATTTTTTTTAATATTCAAATACTTTTAAAAGAATACATTCATTTTTTTTTTCAATATTGAATATGTGAATACACATTCAATAAATTATATTTGTTTAACTTATAGCATTTATATATTTTTAAATTTACATTATATTGTTTTTCAAAATTTATATTATTGTATTTTATTAATACATTATTATATTTTATAAATATAATATGATTGTTTTTATATTGATTTGAAATAACATAATCAAATGAAATGTAATATCTCATTTTGTCAACCATTTCTATTTTAAGAACTCATAAATCAAATCTTTCAAATCTTATAAATAATAATCAATCTTAGAATATTATGGAGGTAATTAATCATTAATGCATATCAATATGCATTGATGATAATTAAATTTATATACGGAAATAATATTTTTTTTTTACTATGTTTCTACATAATTTTTTTAACTATTTAAATTGATTTTGCCAACTTAAGATATATGTATTAATTTAATTTTATAAATATTAATAACTAAATAACATTTAAATTTTCGGATTCCAAAATTTGAATTTCAAATGATTTTCTTACTATAAATTGTCAATAAATTCTCCAATTTTATGTCATATAATTTGATTTTCTTACCTATTTAAGTTGATTGGTTTTGATTAATATGGCTAATTCATGGAAAATATCTAATCAACAATAATTGGTTAAGATTGTAATATTAAATGTGTATTTCCATAATAACTTATTGTTTACTTTTTATTATATAAAACCCAAGTATAAATACCCCTCATTCCAATTCATTCCACTCACTCACTCTCCACCTGAATTTTACACTCACATAAAAATAAAAAATAGGTCATCCCGAAATGGCTGCAAAGAGGAAAGGTTTTATTTTTCTGTAATTTTTGTTGTTCATATATTTATAGTTTTACATGTTCTTTATTTCATTATTTTGATATAATGAATGTTTCTAATGGTTATTTATGCATATACATGTATGTAGTCTCACATGTTATTTGTTGTTTGTTTATGTTATTTTTTGTAAATACTTATGGATAACATCGACCTATGTGATATGTGTGACGATATCGGTTGCGTCAAAGCAGATAAGAATTTCGTGAATCTCATATGAATTGTGCGAGAAAAAATACTCATTTTTTTCATTCCTTAAAAGACCGTCATGGAAGTGATAAATGTAAAAAATAATATGCAATTAACAATTTTCTATTCTTTATATATGTCTATAATTATTTTTAATATTGTTTCATAAAGTTCATTTAGTTGCAACAGTTAATGAAACAGTAATAAAAAGACACAAATTTTAAAGTGGTTCGGATACAATTGTAAAGTTGAATCACCTGTTTCGTTTTTTTGTTTTGGAAATTTATTGTTTTCGTCTTTTTTTCTTGATTTGTTTTACTTAACTACATTGAAATGTTGAGTACTAGGTATATCATCACTAAATCATTATAATTATATTGTTTTATAATTTTACATTAATTTATTTTATTAATGCATTATTATATTAATTGAATAGTAATATGTCAATTAATGGAATAAAATGTAGTATCTAGTTGTCTTTTTTAGATACTCAATCTTAGAAAATTATACATATATTAATGGAATAGTAATATGTCAATTTATGAAATGAAATATATTTAAATTGTCATAAATAATTTAATATTTGGTATATATATATAAGTAATATATTTCAATATTATTCCATTAAGTATTTAATGAATTATTTAGTTAATAAAATGCATTGTTAGCTAGATTTTTTTATTACATTTATTTACGAATTAATTATTTTAATAATTTTCAATTATATAAATTACCTAATTTATTTAATTTTCCTTGCATCTTTCATTATGATGTTTTGTTTATATTTTTGATAATGTTGTAACATAAGTATTTGTAATAATTATTTTGCATATCAACTTATACTTTAGAAAAAAAAAATGTCTTACATTCAAATAAATAATAATTTGATTTGATTTGTTTGATATTATTATAAAAAGTATTGATTTGAAGGATATGATTTATGACTTGATTTGTTTGTTTGATATTCTTATTAAAAGTATTAATTTTAAGGATATGACTAATCATTTGATTTTATTTGTTTATTTATTTTTGTTATGTTTGCCTTTGTTATATACAAATTGATATTATTTAGGTTTCTATTTATTACTCTATCAAATCAATCTGTGTATTATGCTAAATAAATTATGAGCATAAAATTTTGTACCTAATAAACAGGTAAAAGTGATAATATTTTAAAAGTCATGCTTTCACATCTTTAATTTGACTTTGTTATATCCATAAGTCAATTTTTACGAGGTAGATTAATTGATTTGATTGTTTGGTCATCTTTAAAAAAATTGCTATCAAAGAAATTTAAGATGAAAATTTGATATGATTTTTTTTTCTCCACTTTCAGAAGATAATACCAAATCGAATCGCAAAAGCTAAATTACGATGATAATATCAAGTCGATTATCAAATTTACACAATCGACTTCATATTGATATTCAATCTAAAAATTAATATTGAGAGAAAAGATGTCGCCGCAGAGAGAAAGTTTTTTTTTTCCTTTTTAAGGCATGAGAACGAAGTTGAGAAATAGAAGATGAGGGCAAACCAGGCAAAGAGGGTTTTGAATAAGTGAGCTTAAATAATATAATTATTAGGCTAAAAAAATAATAAAGGTATATATATATATATATATATATATATATATATATATATATATATATATATATATATATAGAGAGAGAGAGAGAGAGAGAGAGAGAGAGAGAGAGAGAGAGAAATTTTTTTTGGGGGGGCTTCAGTCCACCCTAGCCCTTGGGTGGACTCGCCCCTGCTTACAATGTAAATATATGCTTATACTGTAGATGGATGCCAAATAAAATTTATTTTATTCAATATCTAAAATTAAAATATAAATTATATATTTTTCTTTATAGATGGATGCCAAATACGTGCTCTGAACTATAATTTTTTTATATTACAATTTAGAAACACAACACGGTGGATATTTACAAATTTATTTGCAGATGTAATCTGATATGAACAATGTCAATTCATGTGTTAAATGCGAATTTTTTCTCTTATTTTTTTAAGGATTTTTTTTATCTAAATTATTTTATTTAATTTTATGCATATATTTAGTTGTACGCTTATTTGCATATATTTCATGATTTGAGCATCAATGATTCTTTAGCATTAACATTAACATTGTACTATTAGTATTCGTATTAAGATTATAGTTAATACTAGGATTAGTATCAAAATTATGATTAAGATTGTAATTATGATGAATATTAGTATAAATATTAGTATTAGTACTATGATTAGAATTAAGATTACTATTAGTATTAATATTATGATCACCATTAGCATTATGATTGGAATATGATTATGATTAGTATTTTGAATTATAATTAGGATTAACATTACGGATTAGTATTATGATGGGTTACATACACATTCCTCGTTCAGCTAAAACACAGCCATATAGCATTTGCGAAGAAAAAAACATGTTCCAACGGAGGAGATAAATTATATTATTGCTGGATAACTAAAATCAATCCTCCAATATCTATATATACCAGTTATTGTACATGAGTTTTTGTGTATTTGATGTTTTTCTTTTGGTTCTAGAGATTTCTTTCCACTTAGGTTTAATTTGTTTATTTATAAAAACCATGTACCATAAATCTAATTTTAATTTGCATACTAGGTTTAGTTAGTTTTTTCAATGTTTTAAATATATTAGTATTAATTTTGTTCAAAAAAAAATATATTATTATTAATAAACTAATAAATATTTATTTTAAATAGTTATATTATAGATACATGTGATAGTTATATTTTAAATGCTAACTATTAAATGCTATGGTTGGAGTAGAATAGTAAAATCTAAGGTGGTATAACGCTATTCATTAGCTATTATAGATTTAGAATCTTCTATGCTCTTACTATTACTAATACTATTACTATTAGTATTGGTATTGATATTGGTATTGGTATTTGTATTAACACATTAGCATTAGTATTAGTATTAGTATTAGTATTAGTATTAGTATTAGTATTAGTATTAGCATTAGTATTAGCATTAGTATTAGTATTAGCATTAGCATTAGCATTAGCGTTAAGTATTAATATTAGTATTAGTATTAGTATTAGTATTTTTAGAATTATTTCGTGCAAATTAATTGTATATTTGTGTCCGATGAATTTCAGATTCAGTTTTAAATACCGTTTTACTGTTTTACGAAGAGTTGCAACAGTTAATGAAACAGTAATAAAAAGACACAAATTTTAAAGTGGTTCGGATACAATTGTACCCTACATCCACGGGGACCTGCAAATGAAATTCACTAATCTTTAGTTTTACGAATACAATAATAGGACTTAATCGAAATGCAAAGACTCCCTCTTTGTCGACGCCGTTCTTGTATCCTACGCTTAATTATCAATCTTCACTTTGCAGCACGTCCTTTTTCCGCACGGTTGAAAATCCTTCAACGCTGAGTCCCTCAGTCGGCGGATCGACCTCCTCCCGAGATCTTCTGAGTTCTCCTCCCGAAGAACCGATCTTCTTTTCGGTGAAAGAAGCAAATCATTTTTCCTGTTTTCTTCTCGAATTAAGATCAAAAGGTCTGGAGCAGCAACGTAAGAGCAGAAAAATAATTTTTCTCTCAAAATAAAAGGGACAGCGTATAACAACGTTGATGCTCCCCTTCTTATACTTCCTTAGTTGAATTAGTAGAGCCCTACACAAGGTTAGAGCCCATTAGGTATAATCTCACGTAAGGAAAAAAGAGTTATGTAACAAGGAAAGTCTTAGTCAAAGAAATTCCTTGTTAATAAAACACTTAGGCAATTAAATAAATTAATGACAAAATAGGAGTTTAAAGAACTAAGGAAACTTCCCTAGTTTTTATACACGTTTTTCACAAACGTGCTGAAAGACCGAAATTAGAATCCTTTCGGATTCTAACAATCTCCCCCTTTGTCATCTATTTATTATAATCAAGTCCTCCCCCTTAATCAAATACCTGTCAAAACATTAAACTGCATAATAGAGTAACTGTTAGAACAGTTCAAAAAAAAAAAAAACAGTCAAAAGGAGAACAGAGTTAAGCCTATCAGACTATTACATGCCATTGTTCAGAAAATAACTAAAGCAAAAACAACAGCAAAAAAAAATTAGTCCAGAATATCCTCAGCATCAACGAACATCTCCCCTTCATCATCCGTATCGGCTTCAGCTGTTGCATCATCAACTGTTGGAGCAGTTGGAAGAACAGTTGGATCAGCAGATCCAGCAGCAGCAGCAACTCCCCCTGAACGAGATACCTCCTGATGTGCTGCTTCGTTGCCAACTCCCCCTGAAAACTCTCCCTCTTTCTGAGCAAGGGCGATAAAATAGTCGAGTTTCTTCTTCAGCTCTGCTGTACGAGCTACCGCAGCCTCATATTCAGACGAGAGGTGGGAGATAAAATCCGACAGTATAGGAGCGGTAGCGGAAGGAGCAGCCTGGCAACCGGAAGAAGGAGATGGACGGCACGGCAAGTCATCCACGCAGGGCACACGGCGAGAATCGGAATGAGGGTCCACAATCTTCGATGAGACAGAGAGAGGAAGTGGGAGAGACGGAACTGCGTGCTTCCGATTTCTGACGTAGCCTTGGTCACTCAGCAAGCGGTAGATCAATGAAGGAAACGGGAGAGAGTAGGCGGTGGACTGAGAGTCGGCTTCGGCCACGATCTCTTCAAAGATAAATTGCGCGAGATCACATGGGATTCCACTACCAATGTAGTACAGTAGAAGTCCCCTTCTTCGAGTCAGAGTACCGTGGTGAGCAGTGGGGAACCAATTGGTAGTTCCAATACCGAATAAGAGACGGTACTTCATAGTAAGATCAGTCGTCTTGAGAGGCCATGTGCTCAGCTTGCCTCCAGTAAGGGTGGATATCAAGTCAGGGTCAGCAACTGTCGTAGCCACAGTTCCAACTGTTGACAGATCAAAGAGAGATGCAATACGAGTGGGATTGAACTCGTAGACTCGATTAAAAACAAAAACCCGTTCATAGAAACGACTGCGACTATCGGAGACTCCACTAGTTAGGTTGGCATAAAAATCATGAACCACTTGACTTTCAAAGTGAGATATGCGAGTCACAGTGGCAAAAATACCAGCACGACGGAGTAAATCAGAAATACCAAAATCATCAAACGAGGGACCTAAGGGCCGTTCGGAGACAATAGCTCGTTGACTTACTTGACGCCATCGGATTTGATGCGCTCGGAGAAAGAACCGAGAATTAAAATCATCGACAGCAGATATAGGCACCACGGTATCCGGTGCAGAGTCATCAGCGGTGGTGGGATTAACGGAAAGCGAGGCAGAGTAAGTAGCACGTCGACGGGAGCGACGGGGTGGCGGTGGTGTGAGGGCAGGGCCCTTGCCTTTGTGGACCGACGAGGATGGCGACGGTGGGGTGGAGGCCGGTGGTGACTGCTGCCGTGATGGCGGTTGAACCGGTGGTGGAGACGATTGAGTAGCCGGAGAGTGTGGCAGCGGAGAAGAGGGTGGAGAAAAGGTGAATGGTGACGGCGGCGTCACTGGCGGCGATGGCGGTGGAGAAACCCTAGGAGCCAAAACAACTGGCAGATTGCCAAAATTTTTAGCGGAGGCGGCCGTGAGGAGGAGTGGAGGCTCCCAAAAGGCAAGAGGCACGGCATCCGACGGCTCCCCGAAGGTAGATCGACGATCTGAGCGGCGAGGCGGCGGTGGGTTCACCGGAGACGTGGTCGCTGGTCGAGAAGCTCTCCTTTTGGACGATGAGGATGACCCACCGACGTTCTTTCGCTTCCCCATGATGATGTTCTTGATTCCCTTCGTTTTGGTGAAAATTTTTGGGGAATTTGCTGCAAACGAAGGAGACGAAGCAACAGAGCAGTAGGGAAGAAGAAGAAAAAAAATTGGGGAGAAACCAAAATGTGAAGCTGGGATGACTGTTGGTCTTCTTATGGGTATTTTAGCAATTAGTAAGAATATAGGAAAAAAAATTGCAAATATTATTCTGCCAACAATGAGTGCAGTGAATGAAAACCAAAGTCAGATATATCAACTCTCAACCTTCACATATGAAGCCCAACACAGTTCAAGAAAACTTAGAGAAAAAATGCTCAGAAAAGTGGGTTACTCCAGAAAAATTGATTACCGCCAAAAATACGAACCCACCCCGTTTTTTTTTTTTTTTTTTTTTTTATTTTTATTATATGATAATGCCTAACATGCAAAATTGAAATACTAGGACAAAAAAGATAAACGTGAGTGAACAAAAAAAATATGAGTGAGTAAACATGAGTGAATAGGATACTATTAGGACTATCAAACCCATGGGGTTTATCTTAAATTTTAACAAAAGAGCAAGCTCCAAAAGACAAGCTAAAGAGATTAACAATAAATTTAGTACTCTCAAATCAAGCACAAAAACGCTCTTATTAGGTAGCATACACACCCTACTAATGGTAGCTTTTTCATGAAGGGCAGAGCAATTTAATTAGCGATATAGTTGTGGTCGTGCAATGTGTAGTCCCCTGGGCTTTCTAATTGAGCCGTGTAGTGAGTGTTCGGTCATGTGGTTTACCGGCTCGACTCAAAAAGGCTTCGAACTATTCACTGACCGTATAAGAAAGTTTACAACGGTCGTGCAATGTGTAGTCCCCTGGGCTTTCTAATTGAGCCCTGTAGTGAGCTTTCGGCCACATTATTTACTGACTCAACTCAAAAAGGTTTCGAACTATTCACAGACCGATTGATTATATATAGTAAAACGAAAATTCAAGAGTAGCTTTCACTCATTTGGAGGGGCAGCTTTTCCTTATGAAAGTGTTAAACCATGACGAGATTGTGAAGAGTAGTAAATAAACTAAAGCCTCTATAGCTATCATTCGGGGATTGATGAAGTTTTACCTCACAAAGTTCGAAAGTACAAATAGTATCCAATACACAAGAGTTTTCATCACATGCAGTATGTCTAATGCATAACCTAGATGAATAAAATGCAGTATGTGTGATGTGTCCAAAAAAAAACTTAAAAGTTGCAAGTCTGGACACAGACTGTTGCAACAGTTTATGCAACTGCACAGGTCAAACAATACAGATTCCAAGCGATCGCAAGGAATCAAATCTATGTGCATCTAGGGGTTTAGTAAAGATGTCAGCAAGTTGTTTTTCTGTTGTGACATACTCTAATGAGACAGTTCCTTCCTCTACTAGATTTCTAATGAAATGGTAACGGATTTCAATATGCTTAGTTCGAGAGTGCTGTACTGGATTCTTGGAAATATTAATCGCACTCATATTGTCACAATAAATATGCAATAAATCTTGACTAATACCATAATCACATACCATTTGTTTCATCCATAAGAGTTGGGCACAACAACTACCTGCGACGATATATTTCGATTCGGCAGTGGAAAGTGAGATACTATTCTGTTTTTTGCTGTACCAAGACACAAGATTGTTCCCAAGATAGAAGCATCCTCCAGTTGTGCTTTTTCGATCGTTTGCATCACCTGCCCAATCGGCATCGCTAAAGCCTGCAAGTGTTGTGTTAGTATCCATAGAATACCAAATACCGAAATCAGTTGTTCTACTTACGTAGCGAATGATTCGTTTGACAGCACTAAGGTGGCATTCCTTGGGATTGGATTGATACCTGGCACAAACTCCAACACTATAGCATATATCTGGTCGGCTAGAAGTAAGATACAAAAGACTACCTATCATGCTTCGATATAGTGTGGGATCTACAGCTGTTGCATCCAACTGTCGCGACAGTTTGTCGTTTGTTCCCATAGGAGTTCTAACAGTTTTTGCAGATTCCAAACCAAAACGTTTGACAAGGTTTTTTGCATACTTGGATTGAGTTATGAAAATTCCATCACTCATTTGTTTAACTTGAAGACCTAAATACGTGAGTTCCCCAACCATGCTCATTTCAAATTCACTAGACATTTGTTTAACAAATTCTTCAATTTTTGTTTGAGAGGTAGATCCAAAAACGATATCGTCAACATAAATTTGAGCAATCAGGATGTCTCCTTTTGATTTTTTAAAGAAAAGAGTTCGATCAACGCTACCCCTAGTGTATCCCTTGTGCAATAAAAATTCTGTAAGACGCTCATACCAAGCTCGAGGCGCTTGTTTGAGACCATACAGGGCTTTGTTTAATTTGAAAACATGCTTGGGATGATGTGGATCTTGAAATCCTTTGGGTTGTTCAACATAAACTTCTTCTTTTAAAATACCAATTAAGAAGGCGCTTTTGACATCCATTTGAAAAAGTTTGATTTTTAGAAAACAAGCAATGGCTAGGAGTAATCGAACAGATTCTAGTCTAGCAACAGGAGCAAAAGTTTCATCGAAGTCAATGTCTTCGATTTGACTATAGCCTTGAGCAACTAATCTAGCTTTGTTACGAACGATGTTTCCATGTACATCAGACTTATTTTTAAAGACCCATTTTGTACCTATTATATTGACATTGTCAGGCCTAGGAACCAAGACCCAAACGTCATTTCTAACGAATTGTTCCAGTTCCTCATGCATGGCTCGAATCCAATATTCATCTAATAAGGCTTCATTAACGTTTTTGGGTTCTATAGTCGAAGTGAAACAAACATATCTTGCCATTTCCTTGTAGTTCACCTTGGGTTTACCTCTGGTTTGAATTCCTTCTTCTACCGGACCAATGACTTGATCCACTGGATGATTCTTCTTGTCCCTTTTTGAGGGTTCCTTGTGAGTTTGGTCATCCAGTTCGAGAGGGCTGACTTCAGCTTCATCTTCTGTTTCAGAATTAGCGTCACTTTCTTCTGAAATGGTAGATGCTACATCAACTGTTGGAACTGTTGGTGTGACACTGGAGCTGTTGTCTGATTCCTTTGTTGGTTCCTCTTCCAGTGGTCCTGCATTATTGTTAAAATCATCAAATTGAACATATGCAGATTCCATCACAGATTTTGTTCTAAGATTGAATATTCTATACGCATGGCTATTTTGAGAGTAGCCTAAGAATATTCCTTGATCACTTCTAGCATCGAATTTCCCAAGCTGTTCTCTGTCATTCAAAATATAACAAGTACACCCAAAAGTACGAAGATAGTTGAGTTGAGGTTTTTTACCTTTCCAAATTTCGTAAGGAGTTTTGGTGGTACCTGGTCGAAGATAGACTCGATTCACAATATGACATGCAGTGTTAACTGCTTCAGCCCAAAAACGAGGAGCGATCTCCTTTGCGTTCATCATGACCCTGGCCATCTCTTGCAGAGTGCGATTTTTGCGTTCAACCACTCCATTTTGTTGAGGTGTTTTAGGTGCGGAGAATTCATGAGATATTCCATATTTTTCACAAAAGTTAGTAAATAAAGAATTTTCAAATTCTCTCCCATGATCGCTCCTAATTCTCACAATATCACACTGTTTCTCAACACTCACCTTTTTGCACAGTTTTTTAAACACATCAAAAGAATCAGATTTTTCCCTAATAAATTCTACCCAAGTAAATCTTGAAAAATCATCTACACACACAAATATGTACCGTTTTCCACCTATACTTTCTACTTGCATTGGTCCCATAAGGTCCATGTGTAGGAGTTCTAGGTTTCTACTGGTTCTCACATTAGCTAAAGCCCGGTGTGAACTTTTGATTTGTTTGCCCATTTTGCAATCGCCACATATTCTTCCTACTTCTTTAGTGAGTTTGGGCAGACCTCTAACATACTCACTGCTGGAAATTTTTATGAGATTATCAAAGTTCAGATGTCCTAACCTTTTGTGCCAAAGCACTGTAGAGTCTGACAGACTGTTGAAACAGTTCATACCAGCAGATACAAGAATATAGCAGTTGTCAGATGATCGAGTTCCTTGAATAACACAATTCTCGTCTTTGTCTAAGACTCGATATGCGAATTTGTTGAATCTGACTTCAAGATCTTGATCACATAATTGGCTGATGCTTATCAGATTTGACGTGAGTCCTTCTACAAGTAGTACATTCTTCAGCTTTGGCAGATTCTCATGATTTAGCGATCCTTTCCCTAGCACTTCACCCTTTTTTCCGTTTCCAAAGGTAACAGCTCCACCGGTGATTTGTTGATAGTTTTTCAGAAGTTCTTTAACGCCGGTCATATGTCGTGAACAACCACTGTCAAAATACCAATCATTAGCAGTACTTGCTTTTAAAGAAGTAATGGCAGATAAACATTTAAACGTGGACTTTTCAACCCAAATTTTTTGCTGAGGCCTATTTGAGATATCAATTTTATTTTTGGGTTTTTGAGAGGGTGCAGGAAAGTGATCAGCCCTAGCAGAGTATAGAGAACGAGCCACTAGTTTTTTCACAAGCTTCAAGTATTTGAAACATCTAGGGCGTATGTGACCTGGATTTTGACAGAAAAAACAAATGGGAATAAATCTTTTCTTCGAATGGAGCGCAGTTGCTTCAACAGTTGCAACTGTTTGTGCGACAGAAGTTTGTTTAACAAAGTTGATTTTTCTGTTTAGATCTTCTTTTTGTTTTAGATCAACTTTGGGCAGCTGACTTGCTCCTATGCCAAGATGATTATAGTTCGGCTTATTGTTATTTAGAAGTTCATCTAAATTACCTTTACCCGTGTTCAATTTTGCAATTGCTTCTTGAGTTTGAGTAAGTTTAGCCTGCAACTGATTTTTCTCTTGATCACTAGATAGGACCCTTTCCTCAAGAGTAGAGATTCTTACCTTTAGTGTCTTGTTCTCCTCTATAAGCACAAACTTCTCATTTTCAAGGAAGTCATTTGTCTTAACAACGTCAAGCCATTTTTGATACATTTTCTCATATACCTCCTTTACTTCCTCCAAGGTTGGTTCTTCCTCATCACTGCTGCTGTCCAGATCCTCTGCAAAAAAAGAATTTGTGTTTAGATTTTTGTCATTATCAGAACACACATTTTCATACCTGGATTCTGTTTCACAGTCTGTTGCAACAGTTGTTTCTGAACTGTTCAGAGGAACCTTGCTGCTGAATGCTACAAAATTAGTGACTTGATCGTTGTTTCCTTGGTCATCATCAGAGTCTTCTTCATCACTCCAAACAGTAGTAAGTGACATTCTTTTCTTTTTCTTCAAGGTGTTTGCGCATTCTGATTGAATGTGACCAAAGCCTTCGCACTCTCGGCATTGTATTCTTCTCGGTTTTGACTCCTCTGGATTATCTTGATTTGAATTTCTCCTGGGATTTTGGAAATTCACGGGTTTCCCTGCGTTGGAAGAATTTCCCCTTTTTCCGATCTTTTTGAGAAATTTCCCAAAGTTTTTTGATAATAGTGCCAAGGATTCTTCAACCGTCTGCTCATCTTCTTGAATTGAAGAACTCTGGGATGTTCCATATGACGCTTCTGCTTGAAAGGCTACCTTCTTATCTCTAGGCTTTTCACGATGATTTTCACCATGATTGAGTTCTTGAGCCAGAAGTTTTCCCATGAGTTCATCTAGTTTGAGCGTGTCAACATCTCTGACTTCTTCAATCGCAGCAATTCGGTAAGCAAATCTTTCGGGTAATGAGCGCATTGCTTTTCTCACTAATTTGCTTTCTGAGTAGGGTTCTCCGAGTGCGTATGATTCGTTGGAGATATCGCATAGTTTAGCATGGAAGTCAGTGATCGTCTCATTTTCCTCCATCTTTAAACTTTCAAATTTGGTGGCCAGCATCTGTAACTTGGATGTCCTTACAGTTGACGTTCCTTCGTATGTAACTTGAAGGATTTCCCAAGCTCTTTTTGCGGATTCACATGATGCTATTAGCTTGAATTGGTTATCATCCACACCACTAAAGATCGCGTTTAGGGCCCTTGAGTTGTAGTTTGCGAGTAGTATCTCTCCATCACTCCAATCTGCTTCTGGTTTGAATACTTGCACATTATCTTCTCCTTTGATCATGGGAGGTGTCCAACCAGTTATGATGGCGCGCCATGCTCTCTCATCTATGGATTTGATAAACATCTTCATTTTTGATTTCCAGTACGAGTAGTTGGAGCCGATTAGGAGAGGTGGACGAGTAGTTGAAGCTCCTTCTCGTTGAGTATTCATATCTGCACAAAATAAAGGTAATTAGTTCCCAAAATCTCACTAGATGTATTTAGTGACAGGCTCTTGATGCCAATTTTTAGAATTATTTCGTGCAAATTAATTGTATATTTGTGTCCGATGAATTTCAGATTCAGTTTTAAATACCGTTTTACTGTTTTACGAAGAGTTGCAACAGTTAATGAAACAGTAATAAAAAGACACAAATTTTAAAGTGGTTCGGATACAATTGTACCCTACATCCACGGGGACCTGCAAATGAAATTCACTAATCTTTAGTTTTACGAATACAATAATAGGACTTAATCGAAATGCAAAGACTCCCTCTTTGTCGACGCCGTTCTTGTATCCTACGCTTAATTATCAATCTTCACTTTGCAGCACGTCCTTTTTCCGCACGGTTGAAAATCCTTCAACGCTGAGTCCCTCAGTCGGCGGATCGACCTCCTCCCGAGATCTTCTGAGTTCTCCTCCCGAAGAACCGATCTTCTTTCGGTGAAAGAAGCAAATCCTTTTTCCTGTTTTCTTCTCGAATTAAGATCAAAAGGTCTGGAGCAGCAACGTAAGAGCAGAAAAATAAATTTTCTCTCAAAATAAAAGGGACAGCGTATAACAACGTTGATGCTCCCCTTCTTATACTTCCTTAGTTGAATTAGTAGAGCCCTACACAAGGTTAGAGCCCATTAGGTATAATCTCACGTAAGGAAAAAAGAGTTATGTAACAAGGAAAGTCTTAGTCAAAGGAATTCCTTGTTAATAAAACACTTAGGCAATTAAATAAATTAATGACAAAATAGGAGTTTAAAGAACTAAGGAAACTTCCCTAGTTTTTATACACGTTTTTCACAAACGTGCTGAAAAACCGAAATTAGAATCCTTTCGGTTTCTAACAAGTATTAGTATTAGTATTAGTATTAATATTTAGTATTTAGTATTTAGTATTAGCATTAGCATTAGCATTAGCATTAGGATTAGCATTAGCATTAGTATTAGTCTTAGTCTTTGTATTAGTCTTAATCTTAGTATTTGTATTAATATTAGTTTTAGTATTCCTGTTGGTATTAGTATGAGTATTAGTAGGTGTACGTGTATGAGTATTAGTATGGGTATGAATATTATTATTAGTATGAGTATTAGTTTTAGCATTAGTATTAGTATTAGTATGAATATTGGTATTGATATTGGTATTGATATTTGTATTGGTATTGGTATTGGTATTGATATTGGTATTGGTATTAATATTTGTATTGGTATTTGTATTTGTATTGGTATTGATATTGGTATTGGTATCTGTATTAGGATCTCTGATGTTCGGTGATTTAGTTATTGGTATTCGTTATTAGTATTGATATTAGTATTGATATTAGTATTGGTATTAATATTGGTATTGGTACTGATATTGGTTTAATATTGATATTAATATTAGTATTGATTCTTTTATTAGTATTAGTATTAGTATAATATT